CGTACGTTATTATTGTGAAGGTTAATGTCTTCCTTCGATTACCTTGCTAAATACAACTACGCAGATGATATTTAGACGTAGATATAGAAGAAGGGAGAAAATTCTGCTTACACTGTGGAATGTCCTGTTTTTTTTTTTTTTTTTTTAAATGATCTAGATGTCACCTCAAAGAAATAACTTTATTTCCCTGACTTTTTAAAATGATTTGGTGATGATAATCTTTTTCAAGTCGAATCTAATTAGTTTGGTTAGGACCTTATCATAGACTACTATCAAATTTTTAAGACAAAAAAAGTTCTTGTTGCAATGTAAAATGTGACGATACCGAACATTGATCAATCTCATAAGATTCCCATAAGATTCTGCTTTATAATTTAACTTAATTTGCTAATTTTTTGTTTAGTATCTGATAATTTATACAAAATCTAAAAATATTTGTACTCGTTTAAGTAAAAGTATTATCTTCTAAGCTTTTTTTTTTTTTTTTTTTTAAATTTCGACTTTACAGTCAAACTTTTATATAAAAATAAAACACTTTGCTTTTTTGATTGTAGTCATACACATGTGAGTTAAGCGCTGTTAAAATAGGCCCAGCTGATACTGTCTCTCACACTTCCGTGACAGTTCGTGTCCCCAAAAAACTATTTCTTTTTATGATGTTTTCTTTAAATCTTGATACGGTGTTGACCTTATACCCATAGAGCTGGGTTTTCCAATATACAAGGTGCAGGTATTAACTCATTTCTGGTGAAGTCTTAGCCTTTATAACTTGTAATAATTTTAAATAGACTAGTTTATTTCTGGTGTAGTCTTAGCCTTTATAACCTGTAATAATTTTAAATAGTTTATTTCTGGTGTAGTCTTAGCCTTTATAACCTGTAATAATTTTAAATAGTTTATTTCTGGTGTAGTCTTAGCCTTTATAACTTGTAATAATTTTAGATAGTTTTAGTAAGAAACACCCGAGGTAGAATCAAGATCTGGGGATAAGAGTCTTCAATTAGTTTTAGTAGCCTGCCTTCATTTCATAGTAACCGTCACGGTAGCTCCCTCAGTAGAGCGCTTATTTCGTGATCGGACGGTCGTGGGTTCAAACGCCCACCGCGACTGACCTAAGACGATAGAAAAAAAAATACTTTGGGTGGAAAGTTGCAGGTCTTTCCGACGAGAGAGTGTCACGGCAGGTGTTGATACGATAAAGTTCCCTCACTGCTCAATTGCCCCGAGTGCCGAGTAAAGGCCTCAATGTGAAGCCTTTCACTGGTACATGGTGACGTCTGTATATGAGTGAATTCTCGAGCAGGATGTAAAACAACATAAAATCAATCGTTTTACATTGGACATTGAACGAATTTGTATTCTGAAGCAGTTTAAAAACATAACGCCATATGTTGGTGTTAATTTATCAAGTCAAGCATCCAAATTAGAAACAAATACAACAGACTCTTTGAAGTCTTTTATTTATATCACTGGTAATTTTATATCAAATGAAAATTGACAATTTAAGTATTTTCATTGTACTCCTAAATGTCATAAAATCCAGCAAATGTTTTAACATGCACCCTATCCTTACTCCTCACAAAAGTATTAACTGCTGATGAGAAACTTCAGATGTTCTGTCCAACAACTTATTCAAGATATGTTGATTCTCAAAGACTCTAAAGAACTTTAATTTATGTCACTCTGGTTTTTCCAGGGGGTTCGTGCTTTTCCCCTTCCATGATACGTATTATTTACAGGCTTTAAAGAGCTGATCATTGTCTGTTAACGTACCCTGTCTGTAAACGTACACGGTCTGTTAACGTACACTGTCTGTTAACGTACCTTTTTCATATAGACCACATTTACATTGAATAAAATCAATTGACACATGTTCTTTATCTCAATTTGATATCAATTACAAATGTGTCGAGGGCAATTGAGTGTAATGCATCTAGTGATGAGATAATCATGGTACACTGTATACAAAATTAGTTATATAGGCTTTCTCTGTATTTATTAAAAGTTACTACGTTTCAAAAATTACACAGCACGAGTTTAAGGAAGCTAAAAGGCAGGCATCGTGAATCTCTTTTGAAACACGAATTGCTACAGATACGGATGGAGCGTACTCCCAAGTGAAATTGTCAATATTTATCAGCAGTTAGTTAAATCCCTGCATATATCATACGATGTAATGATCAATGCAAAGTTTAAAAAAAATCTTATCTAAAAATATAGGCACCATGTTTTACAGATTTAATAAAAAAAAAAAGATGAAAATAGTCTTTAATTTTTCGTGGTTAAAGCTATATATGGCGTATCTGAGCTTGAAAAATAATAATACGAGACTGAGTGTAAATATACATGATATATGTTATTTATGTTCAAATTAAAATTTTCACCGATTTTGAGCTTGAATAACTGCACGCTTCTATAGTTAAATTGACTTTAGATGTGTCTGTTATTTAAATGTGGAGTCGGTAAATAAATCGGTTATTGTTTTAAATTTTTAATATCTTTGAAACGCTATTGAGTTAAATTGTGTAATTTACAGGAAAGTCATATCTTTATATAAAGTAATAAAACAAATCGAAAGACGTCTTTAATTTTGGTTACCTGAACTTATCAAAAAATACGCCATATACGACTTTAACTAAAGAAAAAAAATAGAATTTTCTGGTGTGGTAACGGCCAAATTTGGCCCCTCGTTTGATATAAAAATCGAAACAGTTAGAATTGTGTAAGTTTGCAATTAAAGACTTTAAATGATGATTTTTTATAACCAGCATTAATTTTGAATCAAAGAGTACACGGAGGCCACAAGAGGGTGACAAAGTGGAACATTTTATCAAATTTAATTTGAATTACCATACCTATACTAGATTTCTAAACCACATAAAATCCCTACAAACAAAAATGCATAGCGGGTTCCAGTAAATGTTTTACCAAGCATCTTTTTTTTTTAATTCTCATCAGATTATTAACAGCAGTGAAGGAGAAACTTCAGGAGTACTGTGCAACAATATATTCGAGAAGTGGTATTAATCAGATGTGGATACTTAAACACTCGCAGAACTTTGAGAAAATTTGAGCTCAAAATTTTACCAATTTTAACAAGCATTCTGAGAGTATTGCATTAGCAATACTATTCCCCTACCGGCAAGTGTAATCAGGTTCCCATTAAGAATTGAAAATGCCATAATTCCGTCAAAAAATCAATGAAGCGGGACGAAATGCAAATTTGATCTATAACTTATCAAGGTAAAGTCACAGACCAAAAATCAGCTCAATATCTGATAGCGTTTAGAATAAAATTAATTCCGTCAAAAATCAATAAAGCGGAACGAAATGCAAACTTGATCTGTAACTCATCAAGATACACTCACATACCAAAAATCAGCTCAATATCTACAGGCGTTTAGGAAAAAAGTGCGGAAAACCAAGTGGGACAGACTGACAGACAGACAGAGGGACAGACAGACGGACAGACAGACAGACGGACAGACAGACTCAGAGGAAACCTATAGTCCCCTCCTGTTTCACCGGTAGGGGACTAATAACATCAAAACATACGACTTTTCAACATTTTATACAACCGTTTCCCACGATAAATTAGTGTCCAAACTTTTTGACATCATAGACAGCTGCTTTTCAATCAAGCATTCCGATTGTACACACACGTACTTCGAAGTTATCTATGTAGTTTTTAGAGGTCAAGTTTTTCCATCAATCTGTTGAAATTCCCATGGATAAAAATTGCGCCCGTTATTAGCAGTCCTATTTTTATATTCATATAAGGCAGAATTCATTCAAAAACTTCTATATGAAAAGAGAACGTCTCTTGCTGTGGCCTTCGATTCGACATTTAGATATTTCGACAACGTTTTATCAATTAACTATATTCATTTTCATTCCTACGTTGATTCGACATTTCCCTTTGAATTTGAAATAAAAGACATCACAGAGTCTGATACATCTGTTTCAAATTTGGATACTTTTGAGCTTGATTACTATGTATAATCATATTGCATTAAATTTCCTCAATTCTGATGGAATTTTGTCAAATCTGAAATACATTTTACCTCTGAAAACACAAAGCACAAGCTTGTCTATCTGAGATTTTCATACACAAAATGTATCTCATAATGATGCATGAAGTATTCGTTCGAAAATTTTTTTTAAACTCGTGGTAAGTTTGGTTAACAGCCTTGAAATACAATTAATACAAAATAGCTTTATATCTATAGTCAACAGTTACACTACACCAATTCTTGAACTCTGAAGTTCTTCTATGTTTTATATATATATATTATATATATAAACTTAAATTTTGTATTCCCTTTTAAATCTTTAATATGTTCTACAGACGCTACATAGTCACAAGACACACAAACAGGCTTAATAATGAAATCAAAGTGAAGCAAGGTTTTTTCCAGGTACTTTAGAAAGATAGTAATTAATTGTTTGTATAGGATATGAAACTCCAAAGTAAAAAAAAAAAAAAAAACTTTAAAAATAGTTATATCCATACCTGAAGCTTAGAGCGCTTTGAATAGCTAACAGTTACTCTTCCAATAAATTCTAAAGTTATTTAACTATCAGCTCTAAATATCCTATAAGGGCACACGATAAATCATTAAAAATGAGTCGCAATACGGCTTAAAAGACCCATATTATCCCTCACCTTCCATAACAGTTAACATCTTTTTAAGTTTTTAAGTAAGATAAAAGAAAATATTCGATCGACTCCCAAACAATGCGTCTAATTTGTGGACGGAACGCAGAACGGTCAGATGCGTAATAGTTCAAGGTGTACGTGAGGCACATCGTTTACGGGGTATTCTTTAAATTCTTACAAAAGGAATTTTTATGACATTTGGACATTCAGTATATCGATGTTTTACTACGCACATATATGCTAAACGTGATTTTAGGGCATATTGATTGTTTCTTAGCTGTTAATTTATATTTTCAGGTTTATCAATTGTCATTAACTATCAGGCGGGAGTTAGGATGACGTGGTGTTTATTCTTCCTTCCGTGTTAGTATGTAATGTCAATCTCTGTGTTTTTCAACCGGGATGTAATTCACGCTGCCTGAACATACAGGTAAGTACATTTTGCGGATCTTGTGTTTGCGATTTAAAGACAACTTTTGACATGATCTTTCTTAAAACTCTGTTACCAATAAAGTGAGTGCTCATATTTACACCCTAAGCATTGTCCACTTCTTGAATTTGATACTAGTTAGATCTAGTGAGTACGCTTATTTAATATGTTTCTTTTTTACGGCATTTATTAAGTGGTAGCTAACCCGGATTCACGTGATAATCAACGAACCCTTGTGCAAAAACTATAACATGTACCAAGGTAAGTTATCATCTAAAAACCTGATGAAATAGTCTCATACCTTGTAAATAATTCTTATTATTTCCTTTTATTTTTACTAGAAAGGGGTGCTAATTCCAAAGTGGTATAATTGACTATTTCTGTCTTCCAATGAAATCTCACTGTATTCGGATATAGGACTTCAATAGACGTAAAAAAAAAAATAAAGATTGCGTTGCCATCTTTACTAAAGCCCTTTGCAGCATTTAATCATTGAATCAATCATTGATGTTTTTAGTCAATACGATGATATTGCAAACACTTAAAATAACATTCACCAAACCCGAGGGGCGGTTTGAATATTGTACTCCTAGGGAAGTAAATATTTACTAAGTTTAGATTGAAATGGTGATGATAATAAACTAAATCATTTTAACAATTCAAAACCTAAACAGGGAAAAACGGACCTTTGAAAACTACAGGGGTGGAACCCTGTGTCTATGAGTAACCATCCAATGCCGATAGGTCACTCTACCATGAGATTAGTAACCTGCATTACTTACTGAATCCTTTTAAGATATGCACCTGGCCCAAAGATCATGAAGCAGTCTTAGACTTAAATAAAAATTTGTACTTTGTCTTGAAGTTTTATTATAGAAAAGACATAAAAATATGAAATGTTATTAAAAATTGCTTTCAATATCAGTTTATAAATATCAATTTACATAAGATTAAATGAAATTATAAATTAAGTCTTAGACTGCTTCAATTAGTAACAACTTGAAAGCAGAACTATTACACAACAGTATTTTCAATATGATAAAAGTTTGCAGAAAATTAGAGAGGTCAGGATATAGAATATATATGAATAACTTAGGGTTGGGGTGAAGTATTAACTTTTGAATAAGGTTCATGTAGGTACATGTCTGTGAATCCTTTAGTACAGTGCTTTTATCCCTATATGACTTATCATACTGTCCAGTGTATGTGATCTATTTGTGATCGTCAATAAACTTAATTTTCATTTCTTCTAAAAATAACTTCTAATTTATTGTAGAAATATTTCACAATGGAAGATTATGCCTGGCAGTGTAACAAAAGTCTACCTGAGTGCTTTAAACATGTGTTCAGTAATGAATTATTTTGTGACGTCACACTTTATGTGGGCTCAAGCAGGGAGGCTGTCCGCGCCCATAAACTGGTTATTTGTTCTCGTAGCCCGGTATTTTATGCCTCATTTGAAGGTCCACTAGCTGAAAAGGGACAAATAGTCATTACAGACATCGAAAAGGAAACCTTCCAGCAGTTTCTTCAGTATAACAAATATTCAGTTTATTACTTAGAAACAGTTTAAAACTTATGACATTTTTGCATTCAAATATGTTTTTTTTAAATGCATATAAAACAAGATTTCTACTTTGTTCCTTTCAGATATCTTTACACAGATGATGTCAAATTAACATACGAAAACGTGACATCTATTCTATATTGTGCACGAAAATATTGTGTCGATAGATTAACTAAACGATGTGAAATATTCATGGAGGATAAAATTGACATCGAAAACGTATTTGGAATACTAGAAGAGGCTCATACTTACGGACTACTAGCTCTGAAAGACAAATGCGTGAAATTTTTGGTAACAAACATTCACGGGGCGCTTTTATCAGAATCATTCAGAAACATCTGCAGAGGTTGTGTTGGAACAATTCTTAGCATAGAAAGTTTAAATATAGACGAGGAGCGTTTATTTGAAAATATTCTATGCTGGGCAGAAGCTGAATGCTTGCGAAAAGGCTTAGCAATCACGGATAAAAACAAGAGAAGTGTCTTGGGAAATGAAATAAGGTCGATACGTTTCCCTGCTATGACCTCCGATTATTTTGGGAAAAAGGTAGCCAGCTCAGAGTTGCTGGATGCTGACGAAGTCATTGACGTGTTTTTATATAATTTTAGCAGAAATGATGGCGACAGGGGACACTCAATGTTTGAGACAGCCTCAAGAAGTTACAGACAAGTTTTAAGATTCCGTAAAACCCTTCGAGAAAGACAGGCTTCCGATGATAAAAATGAAATAGCATTTGAATGCAGTATTCCAGCAACTCTTCACGGCGTGTGTGTCTATACCCCAAAGGAGGAATATGAAACACAGGTGGTTTCTGTGGACGTGTTCGATCACGAGAAATCAAGCATAGCCAGTGTGGACACCCATGTGTTTGAGCACTCTAGTGATAAGATTCACGACGTGTTCTTGAATAAACCAGTAAGATTAGTTCCAAATAAACGATATACAGTAACTACCAGTAATTCCTACTGGGTAAAGTCCTTTTATGGGACGCGGGGAAGACAGTGGGTGTCATTTAGAAATGGAACGGTTACTTTTTACAACTCTGCTTTATCTGAGAACTCAGACTCGGATTCGGATTCGGATTATTGGTTGAATACTTCAGTAGACAAAGGGCAGATACCTGGACTTTTGTTGTCTTGAAACTCAACTGACGCAGATTTATGAAACTTTAATAACCGTTTTTCTTTGTCGAACAGTCTAGATTCTGAATTTCAGAAGGTTATTATTTTGTTGACGAAGAATATATATTTCTACAAATACATATGTTTTTCAAACATGCATCCAATTAAACGATTTGAAAAATTAAGGAAACAAGTGTTATGATTTACATTATTCACCATCAAACAACCGAGATTTTCCATTCAAATCGGTGAAATATAATTTAATGTTATGTGTAACTGAAACAACCAGCGTTTTATTTTTTTAACATAGATCCTAACTTACTTTTGTAGTCTAAATGCTTAAGGTTACCCTTGAAAAACATCTTTAGCTTTTAACTTTAGTCATAATAGATTTAATATGTCTTTTAAAACGATACAAAAAGATGTGTACATCGGAAATCATGCTATTCGGAATGTCATTCAGAATGTCACTGTACCATCTAGGGGTTTGTTTTAGATTTTTCAGTCGACTACTTGACACCTGACATACTGCTTAAGGAGGCTGGGGGTCAACAAATTAACCATCAGATATAACTTATTTTTTTAGATATGATATCTTAAGCTGTCAACTATCATTTGTCAAAGAAAAAATTCATACATTTTAGTTTTAAAATTTGATCATTTTTGTATATCTTTATATGGAGCTCTTCTTCTAAAGGAGATCAGTATAGTCTAAAAATTGCCACGACCACCCAGCCCTCTTAAGGGAATTGTTTTGTTCTGTCCAGAGTGTTGCATTCCTGTCATCTCCACAAAGCTTTTTTTCACTGGATCAAATGCCATATTCGCTTCAAATGTGATTGAACGGCCCGGTTCTTTATATTTTTTAAGGTAGGCGCCGCCACGGCCAGCCTTGTCTCTGCAATACCAGTGTCCTTTATATTTGTAATAAATATCAGAGCCGAATTATTTTGCTGTTGTAGCTTGTCTCTGCCAGCTCTTCCAAACTGAACTCTCATCTAAAAGATAATGAAACACTGTTAACTCTACAATAAATCTGCGATAACTTTGAACTTTTTTAAGTGTATTTTTTCAAAACAAGAATATATTCAATTGAATTTTTTAATTTTTTAAAATTAGGCCACTACTTCTATGACGCGACAAAAAGTAATTAAGGTAATTTAAATTCTTTTATTATGCGACCCTCATCTTTTTGCTTTAGACATTGGACAACGATATCATACATGTTTTGATTCATGGCTTTGGAAATCTAATATACAACAAACCTATTTTTAGTTTTCTTCTTAGAATTGTTTTGGACCATAGTTTTCTTCTTAGAATTGTTTTGGACCATGGTCAGTGGATTTATGTAGAATTCTGTATATTTTTTAAATAAAGCCAATTTTTTGGAACAATATCAATTTTTTAAACACTTCTCCGTGGGAGTTATCTCAACAAAATTTAAAACTGAAAAACAAGTACTTGATTCTAAGTATAAAACGATTCATTTTTTCTGAGATCTTTTAAACTAGAAATATTGAAAAAAATCGTGAAGAATTTGTGAAGACTGACCTTGATAATAATGGTACTGATGGATCAAAAGACTAATGTAAAACTCATTAACTGTCAATATTTTGAACAAAAGCAAAATAAATTTGTTTATTTTTATAATCTGCAACTAGAGATATTTATCTTTTTCACAACGGGACCAGGCTTTAAATCTTGGTTGCTTTTTATCTCAAAAAGGATGAATATTTTGATAAGCAATGACTAACAAAAGATATTTTAGTATAAATTGCTGAAGTAGAAATGTCCAAGGTTAACCCTAACCCTGACCGGTCGACAGGGGATGCTCACTCCTCCATGGCACCTGATCCCACCTCTGATGTCGTAGAGGTCCGTGTTTGCTCTGCTCCTATTTTGTAATGGTTAATGGACTTCTGAGCTCGAATACTATTCGTTATCTCCACATATTTCCTCTTGATGATTTGCAACAATTTATAATAAAATTTTGAAATTATATTATGTAACAAAGGATCATAAGTAACAAGAAAGCTAAATTTTTCCCTTGGTATCTCGAAAAGGAGAAATTTTGATAAGCAATATTTAACAAATATGTTCAGAATAATATTCTAAATATCAGTTTTTACTAACTAATATCTTGTTTAATATCATATCTAACCTTATCTAAATTCGGACGGAAGAACACTCAGATCGAATCTAATTATTATTATTATTATTATCATTATTATTATTATTATCTTATCAAAAAACTTTATCAAGAAAAAATAACATATTCTAGTTACCAGACATTGTTGTATATGCCAAGTACTGTTTGGGGTCTTCACCAAAAGTAGCCCAAGCTTTATAATGTGTCCTTCAACAAATGAAAAAAAAATTTTAAAGAACATTTTATAAGTTAAACAAAATGAGTTAAAAGACTGTAAATTGGTCTTTTTAACTAATGCATTTAACCAATTTTAAAAATGAAAAAAGGATCAAAGAAAAATTCAATTGTGCAACAATTACTTTGTAGGGTATCCTGCAATGAAATTACTTTCTTTTAAGATAGCCCCCTACTACAATTTTTAATGCTTATTGCAATGTTTTCCTCACTAAAATCATTAGAATAACATCTTACGTAATTATAAAGCCCTAAAGAACCTCTTGACAGATCACTTTCCTAAACAGACTCCCTAATCTGGAAGACGGATAGCAGATCACGGTGGGTATGACGGGTCGACAGGGGATGCTTACTCCTCCTAGGCACCTGATCCAACTTCTGGAAGGAGTTCATGTGTAAAGCCCTGCCCAGGAATTTACATTAATTTTAGATTTTTGAGATTAATCACCTTTTTTATACCTCTTTCCTCCATCACTTGGTTTTAATCAAAATCAATTAATGGTAGTTCTTAAAACAATATCAAAACAAAAAAAAATTATAAAATATTTATTTATAAGGTATCATATTACAAATTCATAATTAATGTCACTTCAGTTTATGAATGGATAAAAAAAAAGAAGGGAAGCATAATAAAAGGATTAAAAATTAACACAAAATTGGACATTCTGGGCATATTTTCATAATTAAATGGCGAACCACCTAAATCAAGGCAAACTTTCCTTTTAAAGGAATGATCGGGATGTCATCCTAAAGTCAGCATTATATACTGTCTTTAAATAAGTTTGTAATAAAGGACAGATGATACAAACAAACTTTTGTCAAAAATCTTAAAAATAACAACAACTCAACTTTATATAAGTAAAATAAATAAGTTTAACCACATAGATTTTTATTTTTCATTCAAATTTTCACAATAACTAGATTTAAAGTGACAAAAAGTTGTATAGATTAAAAAGGAAGACCGCAGAACGTTTACAATTTCTTAATATTTTTTAGATATTTATTATACTTATCATTTACAATCAAAATAGTTAAAAAAATGTATACCAATCTAGGCATCCATATTTCTTGTTTGTATCATCTGTCCTTAACTTAAACTATTTTTTCTATGAGTATGTATAGCCATATATTTAATTTCCATTATTTTTCAACTGAACCCGTATGATGTGTAAAGGAGGCCATATTAACATGCTTTTCTTAACATACTGGAATTGAATTGAAGAACAATTGTTTACATGGCATTGTTGTTATACAGTTTATATCTTTATACGAGGAAAGACTGTTGGACACCTATTTTCAAAAGTAAGACACTTTTTGAAAAATCAGCCACATGTAAGTGTTTCTTGTATAAGCACATCGTGTGTGACAATTTTACCAAAACCCATGCATATTTGACAAACCCTATTCATTCTCAGTTAAAGAAGTATTTTACTAAAAAAATGGCTTTCATCCCATAGCTTAAGTATAGAAACAAGACGATGCCAGGAAATAGAAAAAAAGTAATAGAATATGGCAATTTTGTAATGATCACAGCACAGTATCGAAGATGGATATCATTTTTTGTTTGAATGTCCAGTGTATATGATTCTTTAAGAAGAATATATATCTATCCATATTATTTCAGATCTACAAATACGTACAAGCTTTAATCATCTACTCAGCTCTCATGATGTTGGTGTTTTAGTTTGGTTAAGGAAAGTCATTCGTCATGCAATGGGATTAAGAAATTATGAATAGTTGATTTTTTATGTATATAACATATAGTGTTTTTTTTCATGAAATTAATGGGGAGTTTAAATATATTAATGTATACTGCAAGTGTTGATGATAGGGAGTCGGTAAGATGGACACCAGGGGGTTCCAACCCCACCCCCCTTCCCCCGCAGACTCTCGCCATGTGTTCATAATTACATATGTTTATTTTGCTTATGCTGATCGGCCGTATGGCTAAAAGCTATTCAATAAAGAATTCAAAGGAACTGGGATTGAATTCGGCAAGTGGTAATCCAACATATACCCATAGCTCCCTTTCGTAAGGAGGAAATTCTTCAAAATCATTTGTCAGGTTTAAGTTTTTTAATATTCCCAACAGCCAAAATGAATTTGATTTACCATACCTTTACTGGATTCCTTAACTCCTTAAAAATCCTTACAAACAAAAATATAAAGCGGATTCTAGTAAATGTTCTATCAAGCCTCTTTCTTTACTCCTCAATAAAATATTTAACAGCAGTGACGGAGAAACATCAGAAGAACTGTATAAAAATATATATGAGAAGTGGTGTAAATCAGAATACTGTTCGTTATTTATTTTTGCTGTTCACAACGAGATAATAGAATATCCAGGAGTTAACTTCTCTAAAAGTGAGGAAAATTATAGGCAGATTAATCCAGAAGAATTGTTAAACACAAATTGCATGCCTTATTGAATTTGATTAGAGTGAAGATTGAGCGTAAATGAGTCACAAGTGAAACCTCTCAAATTAAATTGTTGGTAATTTGAATATTCTATATTGCTATTAATGTTAAACTTTTTTTTACATCATAGATAACTTTTTCAGATACAAAATAAAATATTCGTTTAGATGTTAATATAGTTAATGAATTGAATGGTTTTTTGGAAAGCCAATGGAGCATTTGTTATTGAAATAATCACCCCTATTGTTTTCATTTTCCAAATTATGGATAGAATGTCTCTGTGTAGGGTTCATTTGTTTTGATTTGTAGGCCAGTTATCTCTAACCAACAAGAGAGATCTTAATGACGCAGTTGTATTATGTA